GAATTGATAAATTTTATAAGATTTTTAACAAACGAAGAACTTCAGGCCACTTTCTCTTCCTAATTAAAAGAGAAGAAAAAAACAAAACAAAACAAACAAACAAAAAATCCCCCAGAGTCTGAGAAGATGCATGACAGCTGAGAATGCAGACAGGACGGTGCAATGAGAAAAGTAAATAGCTCTCAAAGGCACTAGATGGAGAATCACGCGTGTTTAATTTATCTCCAAGAAAGTGTCTATTTCCCCAGCTTGTTCTGAGATTTCAGCCACCTAATAACCTCCAGCTATAGATTCGGTTTGGCCCTATCCTTGTACCGATTCTTATTTGAGTTAGGAATGAGTTATTCTCTTGCTCAGCATGAAGGCATCCTTATTGCTTGCCCATTAGCCTTGCACTAACAGAGCTTCTTGACTTGTATCTCTGAGCCAAAATCTTCACAATTTCAGCAGTGCCTCAGTTTCTGTTTAACTGTTTGTACCTTTTAGTGGTTCCACCTAGCTTTTACATAGTCCTGATGACAGAGTTTTTGCTTGTGATTCCCAGCCCTGGGGTTAGGACCTGCTACCTGATAACAGCCAGCTTCCTTCTGACACTTGCTTGCCTAGTTTTGCAAATATCATTAGCATTAGGAATTCACATTATGATAATACATTCCACATTCTATTCGGAATACTACCTTTTTTAGATTTCTTGCCAGCCAGGTATTGGAATTTCACCTACTATACAAAAGAAAGCCTAAGTTTAGGGATAAGATGAGAGACAGTAATCCTTCAGTAAAGGGCAATATTATAATATTATCTAAATGGTGAAAAATGCTATGAATAATTGTGATTGTGGAAACTGTACTAGAACAGCCCCAACCATACATCGGAAGACACACAATAGACAGGTCTCCTTCCTGACTAATCATCCTCCACACAGATCCTATCATCCAGAGCCATCTTTGTCAGAACAACATCTCCCCTTCTGGCAGCGTCTCAGCTGGAGTGAAGACACTAAAGCAGTCCACATGGTAGAGCCTTCCCCACTGCGCTGAGCTAAGCCACACTTTTGAGATATGGCAGAACAGAGCTGACAATGAGAATGGTAATGAGGATTCACTTTTGCAAAAGGCCAGGTGCTTTATATCATTTTATTTAAATATCATAAAGCCTTACAAGATAGAATTATTAATATGTTAGGCATTGTGTATTCCTCAAAGCAATATTAAAAAGGAATGTATCTTCATTATCGCCATTTGAAATATAGAACAAAAAATAAAAATGAAGATGCTCAGAGAGACTGCCGCTCATCCCCAATCATGAGGACTGTAAGCCCAGAATGTGACTCAAATGGAAAAGCTTGAAGTCACCCAAAGATCCCTCCTCCTTCCTCTCCCTCTAGCCCAGTAGTCATCACATTCTGTTGTTTGTGCTGCCTTACATCCTTAGACATCTATCTGATCTTCCATATTACTATTACCAGAGCACAGATCCTTTATCGCTTTCCACCTGAATATGAAATTGCTAACTGGCTAGTGTGCTGGCCCCAGGTGGTGCCTCATGTCCCTCTCTGCTTCCATGAGAAACCTATGAAAATGTGAATCTAATTATCTTTCTCCTTTGTTTAAAATCCTTTCATGGCTCTCCACTGTCTTCACAACAAAGTCCAAGTTTCTTTAAGTGACAGTCCAGGCCCTTCATGAACTGGCCCCTGCCCTCATTTCTCTTTACACTCCCACCCCTTGAGAGTATGTGTTGCACCTGCATATGCATGCACGTGTGCTACACATATACACACACAAACACACACACAGTTTTCAGCCACCTGCAGGCCATCCCTCAATGACCCACCCCTGCCCATTGCTCTGTATTGCTGCTATGCTCTTTGTTCTGTCTAAAAGGCCTCTTCTCTGGTCCAGTTCATTTATCAAGATTTTACTCAAGCGAAAAATTGAATTTTTTACGAATTACCTAGACAGGCACTTTCTTTTCTCCCATGGAATTTAGTGCATTTCTCTATGTATGGGTCTTATCCCACTGCTATAATTTCTTCACTAAACTCTGATTCTGCTTTTCCCCCACTGGACTCTAGGTTCCTCAAAGCCGTATTCTATGTCCTAATTATTTTTGTATTCTCACTAATTGTGACTGCTTCTGGTGCACGGTAAGTACTCAATACCTATTTGATGAATGGATGAATGGAAGTATGGATGCATAAATGCATGAGAGGCAGTAGAGCAGAGTTAAGTATAATTTGGGGTCCAAACAGATCTGGGTTTGAGACCCAGCTCTGACATGTAACTTGAAATAAGGCATTTACACAAATGCCTTCAAAGACATTCACCTCTTTGAATCTCAGTCCTCTAATCTGTAAAACTGGGGAAATAGCACTACCTATTTCATTGGAGACTGGTAAGCATTAAGTGAAATAATGCATGTAAAGCATGTAGTACAATTCCCAGCATGCACAAAGTATTCAGTATGTGTTATTATTATTTCTTTACTATTATGAATGAAACTT